GTTATTTAAACAAAGCCAGTCAAGACAGCGGCGTTGCCTCGTGGGAGCTCAGGAGCCTCCCTCAGCCCAGTTCAGCTTCGTCAGCGGTTTCATGCACACCCACAGATATTTGGTGGCGTGTTATTTCGTGAAATGACAGCGCTAATATAGAAGCCAGCCTAATTAGTGACTGTGTCTTCGCGATATTGTTCACGGATTTCGTGGTGTTACATTTCGCGAGAGATTATCCACGAATTTTGTGGACTTTATTTCGCGAGGTCACTAATAACATTTAATACTTCTAGATAATATTAGAAGTTTCATAGAGGCTAATTAAGAGGCTATTAACAATAATTGTGTATATTATTTCTCCAAAATAGAGAATTATTTAATATATATTGCACTAGTGATCACAATATAATATTTACTAATTGCCAACCCACAACAGGGTAGGATATTACTAGTTGAACTATTATCGTTCATCCTAGTCCCATTATTACTATAGTCAGTTGTACTATATTGAATAACCTAACACCATTAATGAATGGTCCAGACCCTATTTTGGGTGTAATTTTTATCAACTCGAGTTGAGTTGTGTATATATAATAATTTACTTATGATCATTACACCTTTGAGTGATTAATTAGTGTCTCTACCATCCTAGGGTGATATAGAAGAGCTAACCTAAAGGTACTTCCAGTGACACTGGTTTATCACTCAAATCATTAGTGTGTATGATTGTATATATATAATGTGTATTAATTTTAAGTGCTAACCTCTAGTAGAGGTAGGATTATTGCCTAGTGAGTGCAGAATTTACCCTAGGCTACCATTAGTGTTTGTTCAGTATTATGAGCAGCCCAAGTACAAGTCCCACAAGGCTTCACCAACGAGCCAGTATGGATAATGCAGGGAGAATGAAAAGAACCCTTGCAGGTCTTAAAGGCCACTTAACAAGACAGATCAAGAAATGTGAAGATTTGTCACAACAATCAACAGTTGATTATGCTGACCTGGAAAGCTATTATCAAGCAGCTGCAGGTAAATTTGAGCAAATCAAATGTCAAATAGCAACATATGTGGCTGAACTTGCCAACACTAATTTATCAGAAACAGAAATAGACGACATTATGGTTGATCTTGCGAATTATGAAGATCACACTCAGGCCACGTTACAGCCTTATGTCAAATTAATTGCCCAGAACAAGGCAGCAACAACAACAACAGTTGCATCTAATACGAGTCAAGCAGAAGCTCGACTCCCTCCAATTAATTTACCCACTTTCTCAGGAAAAGACGAGGAAGATTGGGACGAATTTTGGAACAAATTCGTTGACCTTGTAGACTCAAAACAATCTTTACCAAAGAGTAGTAAATTCTCTTATTTGCAAGGCCAATTATCAGGTGAGGCTAAAACAGTAGTATCCCATCTGAGATTAACTAATGACGGCTATGATCTGGCAGTACAACTCCTCAAGAATAATTATGCTGATCCAGAAGTAAGAACATCACATTTAGTTCATGAGCTGTTGCATTTACCCCCACCGGAGGCTTCAGCTGATTCACTCCAAGTCTTCAAGCTGGAGGTAGAATCATTGATCAATGCCCTCAGCCTGACAGCAGATACAAACGGGGCTGAGTGGGTCTTGAAAATAATTGTCCAGGAGAAAATACCTAGGGACATATTGAGACAAATGAGTGCTCATTACAATAAAAGCATCTTATCCATGAATGAAATATCTGAAGGTTTAAAGTCAGTAGTTCATCAATTACGAACACATGACAAATTAAAACCACCAAGTAAACCCTCAGAAACCAATAATAGTAAACCACAGAGTACCAAAGGTACTCCAAATGAATCTAGACAATATAATTCAACACCAAAGTGGAACAGTGGCAGTGTGGGCGTATATGCAGTGGGACCCTCCAAGCCTATAGTTACTGTGTCACCCAAGAACGTGACACCAAAGGGTACTGGAAGCTATGGAACGTGTTTGTTCTGCAATGAGAAACATTCAATGTACCACTGCTCTAATTTTCCTGATAGTGACGCCCGTGTTGAACGACTCAAAGATTTGCAACATTGCACGAGGTGCCTCAGGAAACATAACATCAACGACTGTGATACCCAATTACACACCTGTAATAGGTGTAACAAAGGTCAGCACCATGCAGCATTGTGCAGAGACACCAAAATAACGTCTCCAAACCCCAAGGTTTGGAGACAGCATTCCCACCACAGTACAGTACTGCAAGGTGCAACAAACAAACAGTGTCCAATCGGCAAAGTCTAAAGGTAATACGACTTTGCCTACTGCCCAAATTACCATCCTGAATAAGAGGGCCAAGGTCCATACCCGTGGGTTGTTTGACCAAGGATCCCAGAGAACATATATCACTAAAAGGCTGGCAGATGAATTACAATTAAGGCCTGTAGCCCAGATGTCATTCAACATCTCAGGGTTTGTAACAGATGCAGGACCTCAAGTCTACCAGGTGGTACAACCATCAGTAAGCTTAGGCAGGTACGTCTGTCGAGTACAAGCCATTGTGGTGGACAAAATACCAGTAGACCTACAAGTTCAAGGTCTGAGAGCAACAGCCAAATTCCTGAGAAATAGAGGAATAAAATTGGCAGATAATATTAAGTCTGATCACCTCACTGACTTCGGTCTCCTTGTGGGGACAGACTATTGTCATCGATTCATCGGTAGCCCTACTAAATATCAGGGTATAACCATGTTAAACTCTGCAGGAGGTAAATTACTCTCAGGCCCAGTATCAAGCCTGAGGAGACCTATGCCTGCAGATAAACAATACCAGTAGAAATCTAAATTTGTCAGCTGATTATATTTCTCCAGTAGCATTATACTAAGGAGATTACAGCTGACTATACCAACAGAGGTTGATGTTAGTATCATCATTTAAAGCTGAAGATGAGTTCATGAGGCTTCAGTGGCAAATCAGTGAACTGTAGCCTAAAACAGCTACAAGTCACTGCGACCAATGTCACTGAACCCACTGCAGTCTCAGAACCATACTTTACTTTAATGATGAGCTATTCAATCTTCTGAATCAATTAACTAAATTAAACCCCAATAAATTTGATGACTGATTTGATACATTTATTATTTAATCAAGATGCATTCCATGGGCCTCAGTGTTTATATATCAGTGACCAGTTACCTGAAGAAACTTCAAGTTATATCTAATGTCACTGATCTCACTGCAGTCCCTGAATCATACTTGCCTGTAGTACTTGATCACATCCAGTCTTCTGGGTTAAATAATATGTAATAAGGCTTGAATATTAGCCTTTCAAGAGTTGACAGGGAAATGAAATCGCATTAGACTTCTAACCCCTACAACTCTAGTACGGGACATCCGTCCTGTACGAACAGACGCACAAATGTGTGCTTACTAACTACTAACATCAAATTAATCTAATAATTCGAAGGAGGAGTATCGGTGTTCGTCTGTTCTAAATAGGACTTCGACCCGTGAGCAGCCCCCTGGGGAATTATGTCGGAAAATCCGACACCACTTAATATCATACAGATAATAGCTGCTGTATTACCAACAAGTTAACCATAGAAAACGTAACTTGTAGTGGAATTACCGTCTATAGAAAACGGGATATCATCACCACATACTATTATAATTCACCACCTATTATGGTGGGAATTATTCTTAAATACATTAGTCTTTGGACTTTACCATCATAAAAACATCTTATATAAATTAACTTAATTATCAATATTAAAGTAGAGTAAATGTGACCCTTCTATCACTTTCTGAAATCTGGACAAAGTAGGCCAGGCGTCAGTGGGGAAGGAGGGCAGCCATTGTTGTTATAACGAGACCAGAGGCTCACACGGGAGCAAATTCGGCTCCTGTTAATTTTACTTGGACGTAGTGTTATGGATACCAAAGGTGTACCATCTGTCAACACGCTGTCAACAAATCAAGTTAAGTGTCTATCCGAAACCCGTTTATCATTCATTTATGGCCATTAATGTCAGGATATAGGGTGACCCGGTTAGATCGCGAAATCGCCTCAAACTAAAGGTAATTAAGCCAGGTCTTCATGTTCCATGTACTGTATAGTGTTTTCTCTGATATAGCTTGTCATATATAGGATTCTGGCTTCACAGCTAGCGCACTTTTGACAGGTCAAGACGAGGAAGGAAGAGTTTGTGCACCAGTTACTGGGTGATATGGAAGCTACCTCAAAGAGGATAATTTGGTGTCTACACCCTAGTTATACCTGGTGGACTAACCTGCTGTACTATAAGATAAGGAACCTCTTTAATGTATGTAGTCTATTCCTGTAGTTTGATTGGCTGCATATATATTAATTTAATAAACCCCCCCTAATGTGTAGAGGATCGATTTGTGAGATTATGAGATTATTGCAGAAATACAGTCCACTTATCATTATACAAATTGCTATCGAAGTATATAAATTAACGTAAATATAAATTCATATAAATTAAATAAATATAAATCTCACAGGTCGGTTCCCACATGAGTTCAACATAGATTTTCCGGCTTGGTGCCATCTTTTGATAATTACTTACTTGGTTTTGACGAAAGACAATTCTAATTGATTTGCTTTACGTAGAACAAGGTCATAGTGCTGGCCAGAAGCCTGACCTTCATCACACTTGTCGGATTCTCTTGTTTGGTATCACTACTGAAGCTACACGCAAAGTTATCTTTGAATGCGTTACAGTTTCTTCTTATCATTGGACTCCAAGTAAAATATGAGACTATTATGATTAATAATATTTTTTCTGTTACACAGTACGTCATGGATTAGGGATTTTTTGTAATCAAATAACCATGTTTTATTCACATTTTCGTATATATAACTAATACACAAAGGGTCAATTGAGTGTTTCAAGCGTAGGTTAGACATAATTGGAGCTGCTTCGTATGGACCAATAAGCCTTCAATAGTTTCCTTAATGCTTACTGTTCTTATGTACTAAAGAAAACATGACCACTCTTCCCTCTCAGGCGCTGGTGCAGGCAGTAAGGGACGGAGACCTTTTTAGGGTGTTGGAGGCAATCCGATCCGGAGGGGACGTGAACGCCACCCTTCCCCGGGATGACCGAGAATTCCCCGCTGCTTCGCTGATGGCTCTGGCCGCCGCCAAGGGCCATACTCATATTGTGACTTGTCTCCTGGACGCTGGTCTGGACGTGAACAACAGAGGAGACTTCCCCTGCCCCCCACTCCAGTTGGCTGCACGCTTTGGTCATGACAAAACTGTGGCAGCCTTACTGGCTGCTCGGCCTGACATCAACGCTGGGGATAAATTTGGTAACGTTAACAATATTGATGTTTATTATTTTTATACTATGCAAGGCAGTAACGATATCTATTCTTTTGTAATACTGGAGGAATTCCGTGTTCTCATAACATATCTATTGAGCAACAGTTAGTCAACATAAATTATGGTTAACTCGGTTTTTATACATGACTTCTACCCTTACCTCCTTCCCTCCTCACCTCATCTCCTGACCGTCCCTCCTCACATTCCTCACCTATCATCTCGCTTTATATTGATTCTTCTAGTTCTTGTATGTCACGTTTTGATTAGAATCCAAGACGAATTTGTAAGGGTCCAGGACGATAGTCAAAGGTTCAGGACGACTACATAAGGGATCAATATGACTTTTTAAAAGACCAGAATGACTAGATAAGGGCCAGAGATGACCTGATAAGAGTCCAGAACGAGTTCAAAACGGTCCAGGACGACTTCATAAGTATTCAGGAATGACGCAAATGTCACCACTTTCATGTCAAATATATGGCTTGGGGTATTTGTTTCAACTGCTTTATTGTAATTAATTCACAATACAAAGTTATTTATAAAAATAAACCTTCTGCAGTTCAATTTATTCACACGTTCTTAAATGATATGTATATACGCTTGGTGTAATGACATATATTTGAAATTAAAGGCCTTCGCAAAGGGAAAACTTTAAAAAACGGACTGGATGGTGCAGCTACGAACTCGCTTCTTACAGAGACTGCGTTTGATCCCACAATGTGGAAATGGTTGTGCCCCATCCCTTCCCTCCACTCCACACATCCCAGCCTGTCCTCTTGTCCTTTCCAAGTGCTTTTAGTCATACTGGTTTATCGCTTTCCCATGATAATTATCTTAAAAAATGGAAATAATAGTTAATTACCTTGCAGGCGTGACGGCACTACACATGGCGGCCAGAAGAGGCCACTTCGAGTGTGCGAGGCTGCTCGTCTTGGCCGGGGCGGACCTGGATATTCGGGACGTCTACATGAGAACGCCTATACACGGAGCTGTGGTCGGCGGGAGCTCGGACATTGTCAAATTATTTCTGGATTCTGGGTGTAACTACAATGCTCTCAACGATGCTTCCTTCACGGCCATGCACGTGGCGGCCTTAATGGGGAACGAGAAGGCTATTCAAGAGCTCGTGCAGGCTGGCCTTAAGCTGGAGGAGCAGGAAGTACCTGGTTTGTCCCCGGAGGAGGTGGCGGAGGCCTGGGGTAAACACAACACCGCCTGGCTTATTCGCAAAATGGCCAAGCGCAGAGACAAGAGAGCGCGCACCCCTACCACCACCCTCATGGTAAGCCACCACCACACTCTTCATGATCAACGCCACCACACTGTTCTCGGTGAACGCAATTACAATCTGTATTATTATATCGAAAGTTCAACATGTTGTACTTGTAATGCGCTGTTAATAGTCAAGTTGTTCCGGCATGATCCGTTCTTTATTTGGCGATCCCATTAGCAAGCTTGTTCAAAATGCAAAACTTCCAAACACCATCATATAATTTAATTTTTTATTTTAAAAACATGAAAGGAAACTGAAAACAAGAATTGTTAACATTTTCTAACTTTATATATGTGTTCAATTCCATTAAAGGAAAATTCTTAAGTATTTGGAAATAGGATTCTGCTGATTTGAGAAATTAATGTGAATGCAAATGTTAATTTATTAAATTTAGATTATGTGTAAACATTTATGATCTATCAACATCATAATGTGAGAAAATAATACAAGTACTGCAAATTACTAGCTATTGTGAATTTAGGTCCAAAACTGTTTGAATGTCAACTTTAAGGCAAAATATAATATTACCTTAAAAGAAAAGCTATCGACTAAGTATGGTTAAAGTGATCCCATTCCTTACTGATGAGGGAGTTAAGACTTTTATATTTTTGGACATCATTGTAAAAAACATTTAATATACTGTGGTAGGGCGAGAGGACAAATAATCATATTAAAACATTTTGATGATCAAATACTTTGGAGCAATGCACTGGGGTTGGACTCTCGTTCCGGGTCACTCCAGACCCTATTTAAAATTATTTGTATATTTTCATGCTGATGAAATTAAATGACTAATCCTGGTATTTCAGGAGAGGAGCTTGATGGAATATGAGACAAGAGGGAATGATACCCTAAAGTGGGCACAGGAAGGCAACGTAATTAATTTTATAGCCAATGCTCCCCATTTACCTAACGAACCCGTTTGCAAAGGTGGTATAGACTTCCATTACCAAGATGCCGATGGTCTCACAGCCCTCCACTGGGCGGCCAAGTTGGGCCTCAAGTCCATTGTGTTGAATTTAATGGAGTTCTCTGGGGCCCTACCTACTGCAGTGACCTTTGACGGCATGACCCCTGCTGACCTGGCCAGGCAGGCGGGTCACACTGAACTAGCCAACACCATCACGGAGATTGCTCAACCTCCTCAGGTTAGTTCATTATACATGTTTTATTATGCAACTTTTTGTGTTACATAGTTGTGCCCGCTTGGTGCCTGCTTTTGATAAGTTACGTAATATTTTCAAAGCCAATATAAATAAATATCAATAAATCAAGAGACAATAATATTTGTGTTCAGTCTTTACCACAGATGTTAAATTATATTTCATAAAATAGAACTGGTGTTTTTTGCATCCACTAATTTACGAAATGTGTCCTATTCATGAGAGTAAAATAACTCACTAGAAACTCATTAACTCAGAATGTGTACATTTATAATATTTTTTGGCGGTGACACTATTTCATCTAGTTTGAGAGCAGAAATGTGTGTTAAAGACCTAACTTATTTTGACAATCGCTGCACAGCAATGTTGTAACAACTGACAAGAAAGTCACTTTAAAAGTTATTTATTTCTGACCACGCAGGCAGGCGCGTCCGCTCCAGCGCTCTACAAGGAACTTCTGATGGTGATCAGCGCTGGTGACAACGTTGAGAAAGCCTCCCGGCTGCTGCGCTCAGGAGCGCCCCTCGAGCCCGTGGGGGACTTCTACACCAGCGCCCTCGTCCTCGCCGTCACCTGCAACAGGCCGTTGATCCTGAGTCTTCTGGTGGCAGCAGGAGCACCACTCACCACCTGCTCGGGGGGCCTCTCCCTCCTCCAGCTGGCCTGGCGTTCACACGACGTTACCATCCGGCTAAGAATCCTAATGACCAGAGTAAGTTAAGAAACGTTGCTTCTTGATGGACTTAATTAAAACCTGCTAGGTACGTTTTTGAGAAAATTGTTTTTGTGAGAGTCCTGGCCTGGTTGGTAAAGCAAGGGTTTAATATTTGCAGGTCTGAGTTCAATCCCCGGGTGGTTCATCTATGTAAAATGTTATTATTCAAGATATTGTGGATTGCAATTTATAATCGTGGATGATTGGTGGAATTTCACTAGATGCTACTATGGTGATCCAAAGCTGCTATGTTGAACACTGTTTTTCGTCAGTTGATATGTATCGCTTCCCAAGGGTTAATGGAAATAAAGGGGAAATAATTGAGTTGGACCCTCAACAAGATTTACATAATTAAATATTATAATATTATCTATATATCTATATATCTATATACTCATATATATCAGCAGCAGACCTAGCCATTTATGCCTTTTTTACCATAATTCCGTATATGTAAATTCAAATGTTAAATATAAACAAATAATTATCATTAGCAATAAGTAAATAAATTTCTAAATATCTTTTGTGAAGCAAATAATTTAGATAAGACATTAGGTTTTGTCAAATATCTGAGTAACCTTCATTTTTCTTGAGGAAAAACCTGACATTTGTTGTGACACAGAGCGCCTCACACACTGGTCTTAAGGTTTTATCATAAATACATCACGTTATTGTGGCTTCATAGTAAATTTATCTTTCATATTTTTTACAGAACTTCCTGCACACACTCCAGATAGAAAGGCGTCGCCTTAAGCCACAAGACTTTGCTCTTCGGGAGGGTATTGACCACCTCGTGACGAGTCTGAGAAGTGAGACCCCTTGGCAGACCAGCTGGCCCCTTCAGGCAGACACTGACCTCACCTCACTCATGGTCTCGGCTGCCACTAATAACTGCCCTCTGACAGCATCCTTCCTGAGGCAGGCGGGAGCCAAGTCCTTCCTGCAGGACCAGTCCGGCATCACTCCTCTGCACGCGGCGCTGGACGCCCACCACTGGGACCTCGCCAGGTTGATGGTCAAGCACATAGGAGCCTGTCTCTACATCCCGGACTCCTCAGGCAGGCTTCCCTTGGACATGCTGCCCGCACACCATAGAACACAGGTGGAGGAGGTGAGACCTTTACTCTTTTGCTTCCTAAAGTTTAACTCTGAATGGTATAAATTATTCATATTTCTATTTGGCCATTTTCAACTGACGAAGATACATATTTTGAAAATAATATTTCATAAGTTACATATTTTGAAAATAATTTCAGAGCATTTATCAGCAAGAGAGACAACAATTAGAAGATTTGATAGAGAAGGTCAAGGATAAGGAAGAGAAAGACCAGCTTCACGAGGTTCTTGACCAGTATGACTCTTTGTTTGCAAGTTACCGAACGAATTCTCCATTGAATAAGACTCGTCTTCCTTCCGAAGCTTCAGCACGAGAACGCGCCGTCAACTCATACGGTCTTCTGGTATCTTGCCGGCGAGGACTTCTGCAGCTGGTATATCTTCTTGTCACCGTAGGAGGCCTTGACGTAGATACAGTGGTCGACGATACCCATGACTCTACTGCTCTCCATCAAGCTGCCGCCCATGGCAACTCAGGGTGCTTGGTTCTGCTCCTAAGTCTTGGAGCATCTGCTCTGAAAGCAGACCGATACGGACATACGCCATCCCACTTTGCTGCCATGTTTGGTCATGGCACAACTTATCAGCAGTTAGAGGTGTTCCTGGAGGACAAGCAGCCTGTCAGTGCTGCGGGAGCAACCCCAGCTGGTGTTAACTCTAACTTTACAGGCTACTTGCACCGCTACATGAAGACTGAAGTCGAGCCCGAAGGCGTTCTGGTTTTCAAAAAGCCCTCCGAAGGAATCAAAGAGCTCCTAAATCTTGTTAATATTAGAGACATGGCAAGTCAACTAAGTGACATCAGTGTTGACTTCACTAAAGGTGAAGCTAAGGAGGTCAGGGAGGTCGTGACCCGAGAGGTCCAGCTTATAATGAACAAAGTGAGTGCTGCTGACAGTCTATACGAGGGGAAGCTAACCACTGTAGGAAGTACATCAGACGGCACACGCCTCTATGCACCAGATGAGTTCGACTTAAGCGTTGTGTTGTCAAACGTTCCTGGAATTAAAGTGGAAATAATTGAGTTGGACCCTCAACAAGCTGCTCTGAATGGACACAGATTGAGAGTTCGTGTCAAGACAGACCATCCAAGTCTTCAAGGGAAGACTTTGATAAATAACTTCTATGAGTTAGTAAGGAAGTGTTTGGAGATTCACACTATCGAGAGCAGTCAGTTGAGCCTTGTGCCGCCAGGAGTGACCAGAACTCAGGTAGGTGTGGCACTGACACTTGCCTGGCAGGGCAAAGAGTATCCTCTTTTGCTGATTGGCATAGACTTGGTTCCTGTAGTGGCTATCCCCTGGCCAGCAGAGGTAAGCAGACCCCCACTGACTCCTGCTAACATCAGTCAAGTGTATCTGTGTAACACAGCCGACGGGGAGTGGCGTTGTAGCTTTGCTGGAGCCGAGGCAGAAGTCCTGAGCCAACTGGACTCCCAGGAGCGCCGGGTCTATGTGGCCTGCAAGACTCTTCTCTCTCACCTGAAGGCTGAGCCCTGGATGCCTCGAGAAGTAAAGGCAAACTATACTTGGTGGGATTCACGCAAGTGGAAAATCATGATCCCAGCGGGATTTGCTGTGAAGAACAGCTTCCTAAATCAGTTGCAACGCAAACGCGAGGAGAAGAGAGAGTGGCGAGACGAGGACCTCTTAGACGTGATCATCACCATCTTGAGAGACATGTGTCAAGACTTCTGTGACCCAACAACCAACAAAGAATCTTTAGTACCATCCAAAGTTTACGCTTATTTTGGTGGAGAGTTTGAGAAGCCCAAGACAGGAGAAGGTGCTCCTGAGATTATTAAGGTTCTCAAAGAACTAGGGTCAACATCATAGAGGCCTGGACAAAATTACATTTTTTTCAGGATTCTTTTTTAGAAAAGAAAGCTAAAATCCTGGAACTTTTGGATGTTTCCCGGTAGTGTGCAGTACTCGTTATTTTATTTAGTTTAAGAACAGCTCTTTTTGCTGTGCTAAAACCAGTTATGAAATTAATACTCATAATCCTGTATGTTATGGTATCCTCTCTTCGAGAGGTTGCCTTAACTTTCACCAGTGAACTTTTTAACTTCATATGAAGTTGTGCCGTAATCATCAGCTTGACCTATTTCATTATAGGCACTTTCAATGTGGGGTGTTACGAGTTATAAGTTCACGCAAGAGGATGATTTATATATATATTCAATCTCATATTTTTCTGCATTATCGATATTTGCATATTAAGGCTACAGCAACATGTAGGCCTAACTTACAGGCAAGTGGTGATGCATTTGATCAGTAACCTGCAATGACAAGCTTGGATATATTATAAGGATATCCTCATAAATACCAGAGTACTTAAGGTATTTAAGAAGTTCATCCTGGCTGGTCTGAAGGGTGTAATGACTAGACATTCAATGATGAGTGTGTGTCAATGATGTGAGAGTGTCAATGATGTGAGTGTGTCAATGATGTGAGTGTGTCAATGATGTGAGTGTGTCAATGATGTGACTGTGTCAATGATGTGAATGTGTCAATGATGTGAGTATGAGATCGACCCATCCTCCAGAAATCATAGTTCTTATAGTAACTATTTGGTGGAACTTATCAATATGTAGTGATGGACCGCCAGTAACCTACTTTTTATACTATTAATTTTTTATAGTCTAAAAAAAGTTAAAAAACAAAACAAAGTTAAACACTCCTAGGTCTATTATAGCATATATTTGTACTATATTAGGCCCAAGATAACGTGTATTAGGCCTAGGATTGCTAGGAGAGGTTAAGTTTGGTCTTACATCTACGATGCACTAAAAACAAAATTCCTGTTTGTCCAAATTAAACTATACAAAAAGTCGATTTTCCGGTAGTCCATCACTACGTACTGGTACTTTCCACCAAATAGTTATTATAAATAACACACAGAAATCACAATAGCGTGACGCATCAAATGAACAAAAGTTCGAACCTCTCGGACGTAGGTTCGAACACTCGTCACGGCCCTTGTGGATTTATTTAGTTATTATAAATACTTTCATGTTAGGAGAATGGGCCGACGAGATCGTGACTCAGATCCAGCTCACAGAGTTTGCACCTGGAGTGCTCGGACTGGGAGATCCGTCACCTGTAGCCACCTACCATATATAACGGTGAACCCAATCACTAAGTCGCGCTCTGTCGATCTCATTAGAAAACTGATTACTATAAGACGGTTGACAACCCACATCGAATATATTCCTAAGGAATGAAACTTTAAAGGAAATTGTGAAAAAGTGCTATATGCCAGGATGACTATGTAGAGCTCTTGAGCTCTTGAGGTGCTTCCGGGGCTTAGCGTCCCCGCGGCCCGGTCGTCGACCAGGCCTCCTGGTTGCTGGACTGATCAACCAGGCTGTTGGACGCGGCTGCTCGCAGCCTGACGTATGAGTCACAGCCTGGTTGATCAGGTATCCTTTGGAGATGTAGGTGCTAGGATATGTGGCATATAGATATTCGAGGCTGTTGGGATGTAAGTGCACTTTTTGTTTTGTTCTATTGGTCATCAAAGTAAGTGGTTGGTTGAGTTCTTGTAGCATCCCGCAGAGCTTCACGTTATTGCTGCTGCTTTGTGGACACTCTACTTCTGCATTGCTCTGCCTCATAACCCCACGGACCTTGGGGGAGATTGAACGTCGACCTGTAGAAAGCGAGGCGGTCGTTATACCGCCCAATAAAAGTGAATGAACTAAAATACTCTATATAAACGAAGTACTCTTCTATAATGAGTATAGAAGTACTATATATTCTTGAAATACAGTGAAGTACGCTATTATAATTTCAATTATTCACAAATACTTGTCTATAAACTTAACGTAGTGAAGATGAAGTATTTCAATCGTCAAATTCAATGTATGATTAAGCTTCGTTAAATACTAATCTAGGGTTTGGATTTTTTTTTGTAAATCCGATAAGCTTTAAGTCAGCTGTCACTCAAGTACCTTTTCCTGTTGTCACTCAAGCAATTGAATAGTTTATTATGCATCTTGCCCTACTTTACAATTTAATTTAAAACCAATTATATTCTAGTGAGTCAGGATGGTCCATTTTACAATTTTTTCTTGGTTTCTTAGTTTCCATGTATATAATCTACTGATATATGATACACGTGTCTATTGTTTATATTCTTAGTTAATATAGGATACACTTGTCTTTTGTTTATATGTTTAGTTGATATATGATACAAGTGTCTATTGTTTATATTCTTAGTTAATATAGGATACACGTGTCTGTTGTCTACTGTTTATATTCTTAGTTGATATAGGATACAAGTGTCTATGGTTTATATTGTTGATATGGGATACACGTGTCTATTGTTTATATTGTTAGTTGATATACGATACATGTGTCTATTGTTTATATAATAAGAGGTTACGGGATGCACGTTTCTATTGTTTACATAATCAGCTGATATAAGAAGCACGTGTTCAGTATTTTTGATAATTCTCCAAGTTAATCCTCAGACCACTGTTATCTGAGATACGGCATTTAGAAGGTTAATTACGCGTGTCGAGCTTCTAGCAATGATGTGGTTAGATTGTAAACCTTGATATTAACCCCACATGCACCATATCCAAGGGTTGCGTGTGTAAATAGGACCTTTTTTTTATAAAGGACAATTGGTTATCTAGGGGGGTCCACAGATCATCATAGGGAAAATTTACCCCTTTTTAGAAGAGTGACACTTGATTTACAAAAAGAAAAGCTTCATATGGTTGCCATTACTCTGAAAACACATACGAATGCCCCTCTTTCACATATGGTGTACTCCCGTTAACACATCAAATGTTTCTGTGCTTAAAATTTAATTTCAAATGTGTTCCTTTTGGACCTTCTGCCCTGGGTCATGTGGATCGATGCGCTCTCTAGTTTGTGTATGTTGCAAGGCTGCCTTAGTGGCTAGAACAATCTTGGAACATAGACACTCTAGAGAAAACATGGAACACACACACACACACACACTAGAGCAACCATAGAACAAACACACTAGAGCAACCATGTTGATTTAGGATACAAGTGATATAGGATACACACACACACACTAGAGCAACCATGTTGAATTAGGATACAAGTGATATAGGATACACGCACACACACACTAGAGCAACCATGGAACATATACACATTAGAGCAACCATGGACCATACACACACTCTTGATCAACTATGGAACATATACACTTTTGAGCAACCATGGAACATAAACACATTTGAATAGCCTGTGAAAATATACACTCCAGATCCACCTTGGAAAATATACATAATAAAGAAAGTAGAGTTGAGGGGATATAAACTCGTTGAGAACCATTGGTTTTATTGGTTCATTTTGTGTATCTCCTCCTGGTGCACCATGGTTTCATACATACTAAAAAATGTCAATAAAAATCAATATATTTGTAAAGTATATATATATGAAAGGCATGAGTTTTTAATGTGATAATTTTCATTATCTATGGAGACTTTTGTACCACAGTTTATATATCATTATAGGTTATATGTTTCTTTTGGTTACATGTTACTTTTGTTTATATATTTCTATTGTTTATATATTTGATTTTTTATATATTTCTATTGGTTATATATTGCTTTTGTTTATATATTTCTATTTTTCACATTTGTTTATTGTTTATATCTATCTTTTGTATATTTCTATTGGCTATAGAATTATGTTCATATATTTCTATTGTTTATAAATTTTTATTAGTTATATATTGCTATTGGATAGGTTACTGTTGTTTTAGATTCAGCTACTCGCAACAAAAGTTCCAAGTAGCACGGGCTATGGTGAGCCCGTAGAGGTATTTCTGTTGTTTATATATTTCTGATAGCTATATATCATTGTTTGTTATCGGATTTTATTAGTAATATATTATTATTAATAAAACAACCAACTTTGAGAGCAACAACAGCGTGTTTATTTTTGTTTACTTCTTTATTTATGTTAAGTAAATATTTCTTGTTACCGCGACAACTAAAATTGTGTATAAAATTAATATTACTTCAATATCTGATCCATACCACGACGGCCTCGCTTCATGCAGGTCGGGGGTTCGATCCCCCAATGGTTCAAGTGACTGGGCGCCTTCTCTTCCTTCCGTCCAATCCCTGCTTCTTCTCCTCATATCCCATTTCATTCTCCTCATATCTCTTCCAAGTGCTATACAATCGAACTGGCATAACACGTTCTCCTAATATTTACCTTCCCTTGCCTAAACTCAATTAAAGAGGACACAAATAGAGCATAATAAGAGTATATACTGTACAAAACATGAATTCATGTGGACTGTAATTATGTTTAACAAATTATGTAAATTGCTCATAAGCGTTGTAACTTGTTTAGCTAGACGATTTTTTTAGTTCAATCCGTGAGCCCATTATGTGCCTCTGTAACACTTGTCCACTACCACCCACAGGATGGGTATGGGGTCCACTACCACTCACAGGATGGGTATGGGGTCCACTACCACTCACAGGATGGGTATGGGGGTCCACTGCCACCCACAGGATGGGTATGGGGTCCACTACTACTCACAGGATGGGTATGGGGTCCACTATCACCCACAGGATGGGTATGGGGTCCACTACCACCCACAGGATGGGTATGGGGTCCACTACTACTCACAGGATGGGTATGGGTTCCACTATCACCCACAGGATGGGTATGGGGTCCACTACCACCCACAGGATGGATATGGGGTCCACTACAACCCACAAGATGAGAATGGGGTCCACTACCACCCACAGGATGGGTATGGGGTCCACTACCACCCACAAGATGGGTATAGGGTCCACTACCACCCACAGGATGGGTATGGGGTCCACTACCACCCACAAGATGGGTATGGGGTCCACTACCACCCACAGGACGGGTATGGGGCTCACTAACACATAGGATAAGCACTGGGTTCAATAACACTCCCTGGGTGGTATTCGGTTCACTAACACTCAGGATAAGTTAGCTTAGTAAATGAACTAAACCATCCAAAAGAACACTTACTCATGGAAGTGGCTATTCATCAAGGTGCTTGGGAGTCTATACCACCGATTAAGTCTTAATGGTTAGGAGTGACTGTGTTAGGACTGGCGCCTTTGTGTCATGGTAAGATGTATTTTGCCCGTAGGTCTTTGGCTGCAGTTTCTGGTATTCTGCATGTAGATCCATGGCTGCAGTGTCTGGTATTCTGGCCGTAGGTCCCTGGCTGCAGTATCTGGTATTCTGGCTGTAGGTCCCTGGCTGCAGTGTCTGGTATTCTGGCCGAAGGTCCCTGGTTGCAGTATCTGGTATTTTGGTTGAAGGTCCCTGGTTGCAGTGTCTGGTATTTTGGTTGAAGGTCCCTGGTTGCAGTGTCTGGTATTTTGGTTGAAGGTCCCTGGCTGCAGTGTCTGGTATTTTGGCCGAAGGTCCCTGGCTGCAGTTTCTCGTAAGGTCGTAGAACTGGTTGTATTTACTGGTGTGAACAAAGGCCAACATTTGGCTTCTAAATACTTAAACTTAATAAAATATGCACCCTTTTTGTATTATTCATTTGTTTTTTATTTTATTGTTGTTAAATAAATATCTAAATAGCCTATCTCTTATATATAATGACGTTATTAACTATTTGATCAATAAAAATTATTACTAAATGAACGGTATTTTAATAAATAACCTGCAGTATTTACAAATAACAATATTGAAAAAATCCACATTTGTGTATTTGTGAAATTTATGTAAGGCATTTACACCAAATCTTTCGCACTCTTCTGAGTGCTTTAAGGTCGTAATCACACACTCAGACCTTGACTAAGCATTCATGAGAGTGCGGAACACTGCGTGTATATTCCTTACATAAGTTTCACATATACACAAGTGTGGATTTTTAAGCAATGTTATAATGTCTGTGAGAAGACATTACCATTATTAATAACAATATTATTTAATTTAGGTATTGGGTATTTGGGTAATTGGGTATTTATATAGGACAATAAACTGGGTACAACTATTTTAGCCCATCCTACTGGAATTAAAGTATTAATAGGAATTATCTGATCAGAAGTACCAATATATAGTGTTGGACCACCAGAAAGTTGATTATTTGAATCTAGTTGACAGCTAGAATCCACTCAGTAAAAAATCTAAATTATTGAGACCGACTAAAATGCCTAAATCTTTATTCACTTGAGCGCAGGCGAGAGAGATACGTAATAATTTACACGTTTAAAATAGTAGAGGGGCTGGTCCCAAACCTGCACACAGAAATATCACCACATGAGACCAAAAGACATGGCAGGATGTACAGAATACCCCCGTTGAAGAGCAGAGGTGCAACAGGTACTCTTAGAGAGACCTATCAACATCAGAGGCCCGAGACTGTTAAACACGCTTCCACTATAAATAAGAGTTATTACTGGCCGACCCCTCACAGTGTTCAAGGGAAAATTTGATAAACACCTCCAAAGGATACCTGATCAATCAGGCTGTGATTCATACGTTAGCGCGTCCAACAGCCTGGTTGACCAGTTCAGCAACCAGGAGGTCTGGTCGAGGACCAGGCCGCGGGACCGTTGAGCCCCGAAATCATCGCAAGGTAACTACAAGGTTTTGTATTATTGAATTAGCCCATGTGAAATTTTGTTAACCGCAAAATATGTAAGAAACCTAACTTAACCTCCGCTAGCAGTCCAAGGCCTAATACACACTCTCATCGACTTAGTACAGAACATACATGTGCTATACTAGTAAGTCCTAGGAATGTAAGTTTGGCTTCAAGCTATATTTTTTCCGAACTTTTTTAAAATTAAGAAGTACATGAGGTGCACTTTTAGTGGTCCATCACTACAAGTTGGTACTTTCGACCAAACAGTTACTCTAAGTACTATCATTTCAGGAGGCTGGGTGGAATTGTTGCCAGGGATAGATAAGGACTTTGCTAGCTATGAAGTGTTTTATTAACACATTACTACTTAACATATATATTAATGTTAATATGGGTTCAATGTTCAATACACTTTTTCTTCAAATGCAGTGTTGAAAATCTGTCTAAGTATATGTATTCCACAATACATAAACTTTTATTATACACAGTTGTGTATATATATAAATATATATATATATATATATATATATATATATATATATATATATATATATATATATATATATATATATATATATATATTATATATATATATATATGTCGTACCTAGTAGCCAGAACGCACTTCTCAGCCTACTATGCAAGGCCCGATTTGCCTAATAAGCCAAGTTTTCCTGAATTAATATATTTTCCCTAATTTTTTGCTTATGAAATGATAAAGCTACCCATTTCATTATGTATGAGGTCAAATTTTTTTTAAGGGAGTTAAAATTAACGTAGATATATGACCGAACCTAACCAACCCTACCTAACCTAACCTAACCTATCTTTATAGGTTAGGTTAGGGTAGGTAGCCTAAAGAGTTAGGTTAGGTTAGGTTAGGTAGGTTAGGTAGTCGAAAAACAATTAATTCATGAAAACTTGGCTTATTAGGCAAATCGGGCCTTGCATAGTAGGCTGAGAAGTGCGTTCTGGCTACTAGGTACGACATATATATATATATATATATATATATATATATATATATATATATATATATATATATATATATATATATATATATATATATATATGCATGCGTGGTCTTGCCAAGACGCCTTGCATAGTAGGCCGAAAAGTGCGTTTTGGCTACTAGGTACGACACACACACACATATATATTCTGAGAAAAACTCACACAAAGCAATGGAATGGACTATTAGGTCTCCCCAAATACATTTTTCCATCTTCTTCCACGCCCCTTCCTTTTTATGTTTTATTTTGCTTTATTTGATATTTTAATTGTTACAAGTTACACATTGATGAATAAATACACTGAGAGGTTAGAGGGTATAGATCTCTCGGAGCTCCTCAACTTCCAGACTGGACCCGAGGACACAACAGTCGTTTCCGCTCTGAACCGCCACACTGAGGTGCTGAAAAAGGAAACTGGCAGCATCTTTTGTCTCTGATGGAGAGAATGATCCTAGAATCTAATTCTCGGAGAAAGCTCAAGTATATTTCTATATATCACATATGATCAAATAAAAGAGTTTCTTAAATCTAAATAAAAAATATTACTATGAAAGAAATAATTTACAGGATTCAATCCAATTTCGATTTAAAATTACATTTAAAATTGACAGATTTTTTACATGTCAAAATAACTGCAGAAAACTAATTTATTTACAGTAGAGTATTTAGAGTGAATTACAGTATACTGCAGTATAAATTTGGTAACCATGATTTAGGACTAGTATCTTGCTGTTGAATCTCTTTGAGGATTTTAATAATCTCAGGAGCACCTTCCCCCGTCTTGGGCTTCTCAAACTCTCCACCAAAATAAGCGTAAACTTTGGTTGGTACCAAGGACTCCACGGCAGTTGTTGGGTCACTGAAGTCCTGGCACATGTCTCTCAAGATGGTGATGATCACGTCTAAGAGGTCCTCGTCTCGCCACTCTCTCTTCTCCTCGCGTTTGCGTTGCAACTGATTTAGGAAGCTGTTCTTCACAGCAAATCCTGCTGGGATCATGATTTTCCACTTGCGTGAATCCCACCAAGTATAGTTTGCCTTTACTTCTCGAGGCATCCAGGGCTCAGCCTTCAGGTGAGAGAGAAGAGTCTTGCAGGCCACATAGACCCGGCGCTCCTGGGAGTCCAGTTGGCTCAGGACTTTTGCCTCGGCTCCAGCAAAGCTACAACGCCACTCCCCGTCGGCTGTGTTACTCAAATACACTTGTTTGATGTTAGCAGGAGTCAGTGGGGGTCTGCTTACCTCTGCTGGCCAGGGGATAGTCACTACAGGAACCAAGTCTATGCCAATCAGCAAAAGAGGATACTCTTTGCCCTGCCAGGCAAGTGTCAGTGCCACACCTACCTGAGTTCTGGTCACCCCTGGAGGCACAAGGCTCAACTGACTGCTCTCAATTGTGTGAGTTTCCAAACATTGCTTTACTAACTCGTAAAAGTTATTTATCAAAGTCTTCCCTTGAAGACTTGGATGGTCTGTCTTGACTCGTACTCTTAGTCTGTGTCCACTCAGGGCAGCGTGATATGCCGATTGCTCGACAATCTCCACTTTGATTTCCGGTATGTTTGAGAGCACGACACTCAAGTCATACTCATCTGGTGCATAGAGACGGGTTCCATCTGATGAACTTCCAACTGTGATAAGCTCCCCCTCATACAGCCTGTCAACAGCACTCACTCTGTCCATAATATTCTGTACCTCTCTGGTCACGACTTCTTGGACCTTCTTAGCTTCACCTTTCTTAAAGTTAACTTTAATCTCATCAACTTGTGTTGCAATGTCTTTTATATTAGCAAGATTTAGGAGTTTCTGAATAGCTTCAGAGGGTTGACTGAACACCAAATCCTCTCCTTGGTCTGTTTCGCTCTTCAAGTAGCGATGCAAATAATCAGTAAAGTTAGTGCTAATGGCAGAGGGTGTTGTTCCTGCCTTACTCACTGGCTCATGATTAGCCAAGAACACCTCCAGTTGTTGGTAAGTTGTACTATGGCCAAACATTGCAGCAAAGTGGGATGGTGTATGGCCGTATCTGTCTCTCTTTAAGGCCGATGCCCCAAGACTTAGCAGGAGAGCTAAGCATCCAGATACACCGTGGGAGGCAGCTTGGTGGAGTGCAGTAGAGTCGTGAGTAGCGTCAACCACTGAGTCAACACTGAGGCCCCCGACAGTAACCAGGAGGTAGGCCAGCTGCAGCAGTCCGCGCCGGCAGCACACCAGAAGCCCATAAGCGCGGACGGTGTGTTGTTGTGGTGTCGCTTCTGAGGCTGGCGGCCCCTGGGCCAAGGTGGGAGTTGCACGGTAACGTGTGAACAGTGAAGTATAATCCTCTAACACCGCGTGTAGCTGGTCCTTCTCTTCTTTGTCCTTCATCCTCTCTATCAGATCTTCTAGCTGTTGCTTCTCGTGGTGATAAATGCCCTGCAATGATTTAAGAATACACGTTTTGACGCCTATGTGTAATAGTACAGTAATATCGTTATAGTGATGATGGTTATGTGACGTATAAATCGCTTTGGTGGTGAAGATGGTGTGTAGTTTAACTCAACAATCCTTTGCTCAATATTTCCTTAGATGTCACCGACTTTTTATCTCTACAGATGGTTGAAATAAATTACACTTTAAACTATATTAAATGAGAGATTGGTTTTTAATATACACTTCTTATGAGATTATCGACTATATATGAGTGATACAAGTATTCAATTTACATTAGAGACATAAACATCAAGTCAGCTACTCGTTTTAGAATTTCTTTTATTGTAATATGTTTAAATTCTTAAAAGCAATGCTACTGAAGGTCTTTTTTATTAAAGCAATTTTTTTCGAGGAATATAATACTAGGACAAAGATAAACGTTAATACATGCTTTCCTTAAAGTATTAAGAATACATGGCAGATTTTTAAAGAATCTATTAGAATAATAAAAATTAGAACAATTTAAAAAATGAGAATTTTTTAGGCAATTTATAAGATTTGTTTAAGGAACCTTCCCAGTATTATTGAGAAAGCCAGAAGGAGAACATTGGGATATTTTTAACATAGTAAACACCACGACTTTTCAAAATAATAGAATTATATTTTCCAGTTGCAGAGCCACCGATAACCTATTAATGTGTATGAATACAGATGGTAAACAAAGTGAAGATTATCCTCAGAAATGCGATTGAGATAATGAAGGAAGCAAGTGTTTTAAATGAAGGTGTTTGCGGAAGATTTGGTCGTGTAGGAGACTTCAAGAGGTCTGAAAGAAGCGGTCAGTGAAAACAAATGTGACTGGAACTTGGAAAACAAATAATTCAGTTGTTTATCACCAAATTATTACGGCATATTCAGCTGAATGTGCAGGAGATCTGTAAGGAAAATATAGGGAAAAATATATGATGAAACAATTAAGGAATTCATCTGTAAGTCTTTCAATAGCTCAATTGATCAAAACAGTGTTTTTTATATTGCAAAACTTCTAGCTTATTGCTGTAAGTACCATCATTTATTTATTTACTTATATAAAAGCATACAGTTGTTTAGGGAACATGATAAACACTGAACGTTGTACATGAACCAGGCAGTGAGTAGTTGAGGAATGTTAATTTTATGTTTGTTGAGAAAGTTGTTAACCCGGATGATACATGGAGTAAAGGACTCCCCGAGCTATACAAGGAGTTTTTTTTTTAATTCCATATTACATTAGATGCAGACGGTAAGTCACAACAATGTGGATGAACATAAGACACCGAAAAAATCCCACACATCCGAAAAGAAAAGAAGTGACAACATTTCTTTCTCTTCAGATACCTAGTTTTTTTTTTTTAGTCTTATGCTAAAACAGTTAAATACTAAATATTCAGGTCTTACCTCCTCCACCTGTGTTCTGTGGTGTGCGGGCAGCATGTCCAAGGGAAGCCTGCCTGAGGAGTCGGGGATGTAGAGACAGGCTCCTATGTGCTTGACCATCAACCTGGCGAGGTCCCAGTGGTGGGCGTCCAGCGCCGCGTGCAGAGGAGTGATGCCGGACTGGTCCTGCAGGAAGGACTTGGCTCCCGCCTGCCTCAGGAAGGATGCTGTCAGAGGGCAGTTGTTAGTGGCAGCCGAGACCATGAGTGAGGTGTGGTCAGTGTCTGCCTGAAGAGGCCAGCTGGTCTGCCAAGGGGTCTCGCCTCTAAGACTCGTCACGAGGTGGTCAATACCCTCTCTAAGAGCAGAGTCTTGTGGCCTCACACGACGCTCCTCGGCTTGTAGTGCATGCAGAAAATGCTGCAATTTTTATTATGTTAGTTCTCAATGTGTGATATATATATATATATATATATATATATATATATATATATATATATATATATATATATATATATATATATATATATATATATATATATATAAATATATATGTGTGTGTATGTGTGTGTATGTGTGTGTGTATGTGTGTGTGTATGTGTGTGTGTGTGTGTGTGTGTGTGTGTGTGTGTGTGTGTGTGTGTGTGTGTGTGTGTGTGTGTGTGTGTGTGTGTGTGTGTGTGTGTGTACTCACCTAGTTGTGTCTGCAGGATCGAGCATTGACTCTTTGATCCCGCCTTTCGAGCATCGGTTGTTTACAGCAATGACTCCTGTCCCATTTCCCTATCATACCTGGTTTTAAAATTATGAATAGTATTTGCTTCCACAACCTGTTCCTGAAGTGCATTCCATTTTCCCACTACTCTCACGCTAAAAGAAAACTTCCTAACATCTCTGTGACTCATCTGAGTTTCCAGCTTCCATCCATGTCCCCTCGTTCTGTTACTATTCCGTGTGAACATTTCGTCTATGTCCACTCTGTCAATCCCTCTGAGTATTTTATACGTTCCTATTATGTCCCCCCTCACCCTTCTTCTTTCTAGTGTCGTAAGGCACAGTTCCCTCAGGCGCTCCTCATACCCCATCCCTCGTAGCTCTGGGACGAGTCTCGTTGCAAACCTCTGAAACTTTTCCAGTTTCATTATATGCTTCTTCAGATGGGGACTCCATGATGAGGCGGCATACTCTAAGACTGGCCTCACGTAGGCAGTGTAAAGCGCCCTAAATGCCTCCTTACTTAGGTTTCTGAATGATGTTCTAACTTTTGCCAGTGTAGAGTACGCTGCTGTCGTTATCCTATTTATATGTGCCTCAGGAGATAAATTAGCTGTTACGTCCACACCCAGGTCTCTTTCGCGCGTCGTCACAGGTAGGCTGTTCCCCTTCATTGTGTACTGTCCCTTTGGTCTCCTATCTCCTAGTCCCATTTCCATAACTTTACATTTGCTCGTGTTGAATTCCAGTAGCCATTTCTCTGACCATCTCTGCAACCTGTTCAGGTCCTCTTGGAGGATCCTGCAATCCTCATCTGTCACAACTCTTCTCATCAACTTTGCGTCATCCGCAAACATCGACATGTAGGACTCTACCCCTGTAAACATGTCGTTAACATATACAAGAAATAGAATTGGTCCCAGCACCGATCCTTGTGGTACTCCACTTGTTACTGTTCGCCAGTCCGACTTCTCGCCCCTTACCGTAACTCTTTGGCTCCTTCCTGTTAGGTAGTTCCTTATCCATGCTAGGACCTTTCCCCCCACCCCCGCCTGCCTCTCGAGCTTGAACAGCAGTCTCATGTGCGGTACTGTATCAAAGGCTTTTTGGCAGTCCAGAAATATGCAGTCTGCCCAACCATCTCTGTCCTGTCTTATCCTCGTTATCATAGAATTCCAGAAGGTTTGTTAGGCACGATTTCCCTGTCCAGAACCTATGTTGATGTTTGTTCACAAACCTAATGTTCTCCAGGTGTGCAACCAGTCGTAGC